CAATATTTGTTCCTAGGCCACAATCTCGACGAGTTCATCAGAATGGACGCCGACTCTGCAGTATCCCACGTCTCGACGGTGCTCGACGAAGAAGCTTTTTACGGGTATTTTTTATGAAATAGTTTCCCCTTCTACCGTCGATAAATTTTTGATTTCTATCCGAAATACCACTGACTTTTCAAATCCGATTTATTCGCGCATACACGTGGTGATTAAAAATTACAACAAAGAAATGGGGAGAGATCGGTAAATGAATCGGGGGGAAAATTGTCATCGGGTTCGGGGTATGCATGGAATGACAATCGAAAGAAATGGATAAAAATCACTTAAATGACTTGAAAAACCTATTTGGTCTCCTTCTTGATGGCGGGGCCGCGCTTCTTGGCCGGTTGATTCTTCTTGTCCAGTTCGGCCTTGCGCTTCAGCGTAGTCGTCTCGCTCACAACTAACAAATTTTAGAATTTTAAAAGATAGGGCACAAACCGGTCGTTTTCTTCACAAAAAACGAGTCGATGCGGCCCTGGGTGCCCGCTTCACGGCCCTTCTTCATCTTGGCGAGCGACGAGCGGATCCGATCCTCACTAGAAATTTCATGAATAAACTTAAGGTCGCTAAAACCTACTTGAAATTCTTCTCGCCGCACATGTACGCGACGACGCCCTCAACATCCGGGTCTTTCCAGACAAGCTGAAGGAAACAAGGGGTGGGCAATAAAAGGCAACGCATACCTCAACGGTGGCCGGATCGGCAACTTCCGGGTTCAGGAAAAGCTCCCGAGCACGCGCGTAATTCCAGTCTTCGGGCACCGCATATTTCTAAACAAAAAATGTATAATTATTGTTGAAGCGTACCTTCGTGTCGATATTCTCCAGGACGCTGTCGATCGACTTGTACTGCCGGATCAGCTCGATAGCGCGCTTGGGGCCGATTCCGCTAAAATCACGTATATATCGATTCGCCATAGCAATACCGAATCGTCGGGCAATAGTCACAGCCGAGCATGATGCACAGGTCGACAAACTCCTCGCGCGACAGGTTCAGCCCCTTCATCGCGGCCTCCAGGTTGAATTGCTGCAGATAGAAGAGCTTTTCAAAGCAAAACTAGAATTCACCTTGATCGGCATCTTCTTCGCCTCCGAGAACGTCATGTGGCGGAGCAGCACGCTGGCGCCGAACGTCAGCGCGTCCATGTCTTCCGTGGCGGCGCCGTAGACCTGGGGGAGTTCAGAGCGTTCGTGGATGAAGGGATACCTTTCCGGCCTTGGCCAGGGCGGCGCATTGAGCTTCGGCCTCGCACGGGGCCTCGACCACCGGCACGCCCATGAGTCGCAGCAGGCGCTTCACCTCCTCGTTTTGGTCTTTGGTCACCTAGAAAAAGATGAAAGAGTTTCTTTAGTATTACGGGGGCGGTGAACCTAATTTTTCGCTCGGATACAATTTTTCTAGATAGAGGAAATGTTTTTGCGGGTTTTAAACTACCCTTTCATATCCCTAAGCGTAAAAACTTTAAGAAAATCCACTACAAAAAAATACAAAAATCGATTCTGCCCTGAAAAGGTACTCCATTTCCGATACAAAAATTGAAATTTTATGGAGAAAGTCTTATAAATAGCTTGCCCAATTCAAATATCGAAACGAAAACCAAATTCTAGATGTTACGTAATATCTAGAAAGAAAAGAAAGAAACTTTCCTCTAAGCCTAAAGTCCAACCTTTAAAAGCATATCTCCACAGTTCCAAAACATACTCTGACAAGACGACGCTCAAATTTGTCGGCCGCCTCGGCATCTCCCTTCTCTTTGGCTTCGGCGAGCAGCTTCTCGGCTTCATCCCTGGAAAGCAGACTTTCAAAAAAAACATAGGAAACGCACCTCCGCTCCTTGCGCTTCTCCAGCTCGCCACTCTTGAGATCCGGCGGCTTGCCGTCGAACACGTAGACGGGCTTGATGCCGTTGTCGATCATCCGGATCGTGCGGTAGAACATGCCCATCAGGTGACTATAAAAGTGGAATTTGAATCGATACAGCCTTTCGCATAATTTGTTGCCAAAAAGGAAAAGAGTAGTTTTTCGACTCCAAAATGTGGCAGCTACTGGCCGGGATCCTGGTGCTGAACGTGGCGCCCCTGCTCGCGACACCCCAGCAACGCGCGGCGCCCAACCCGGATGGCGCACAGCAGGACATTGGCAAAGAGGAGGTGATTTCAAGGTGGAAAAGCTCTATCTCCTCGCGTTTCAGTCGGTAAACCTCAAAATCGCGATCCCGAACCCGAACGAGCTCGAGGTGCTGAACCTGCAGCTGATGGAGCCGTTGCTGTACAAGGCGGTTGAGGTATATCCGAAAACTGCGAAGCAAAATTCGGATCTGAGTAGAGAAAAGACAGAAAAAGTATGGATTTCCGCTGCAGGGAATCTAGGTTTTACCCCGCTTTTCAGAAAGAAATCTTCCTCGCCGGCCTGGAGGAGCCGGGCGTCGCGAGCGCGTCGCCAGAGAGACTTCAGTGGGAGCTTCAGCAGAAAAAGGTAAAGTTTTTGCCTACAAGGATGCCTTTTGAGGTGATGGGTTGGGGGTTCGGCTGTTTTTTGATTGTTCCGAATTTCGAGCGCATTGCGAACAACAATTTTTTCTAGGTCGAGCAGGGGATGGCGGACGCGCTGGCCTCGGTGATGGACGAAATCCAGGCCAACGCAATTCTGGTGGGCAAATAGCCCTTTTTCGATTCTCAAAACCGAATTTTAGCAACCGGAAAATGTCGGCGCGCCCGCTCTGCCCGAGCCAATCCGCGAGGCCGTACGACGACTGCCCCCAATAGATTTGGATTGAATAAATGGCTTCGAGATATCGCTAGAAACACCGAGCCTAGAAGCGCAGAACACACCTGGTAACTTCGCCAGCCTCGTTCTGCATCTGGCTGCCGTCCTGGCGCACGGCGATCAGGAACTGGTAGAGGGCCATTGAGGCGTCGATGGCCACCTTGCGTCCGAAGTAGTTCTTCATCTCGTGCTCGGTGATGGCGTTCGGTGCATGTTCCTTGATGACCTGAAAAGATGGATATCGTGATGTTCCGCGTTAGCCACTGGCCTTTTAAAATCTAAATTCTAGCGTATACCGGCAGCCGAGATTTCCACTTTCCCCATCTCAATTATATACTACCCGTTGCCATTTTTACTCAACTCTAATTTATTATTACTCTCAAGCACAACGCCAACATTTTCGTATAGATTACAGCCCCCAAGCTCCTAAGAGCGTCCAGATAAAAATTGGGGTTCGTTGAGCGAGGAAGACCTCCTAAGCCGGCGACTTGGCAGCGAAGGGGTTCGGAGTTGGGGGGGGGGGTTTTGCACACCGTTCTACTCCGAGAAAATGGGTATAATTTCGTTCTAGGTTAGCCTTCTGCTTTTCTAAGCTCCAAAGCGGGCTAGTTTCAACGAATAGCGTGGTTTCAACGCATTGTCTATTCGAGGAAACGCTAGGCAAATAATATCTCCAAATTTTCAGCTTTTTTAGAAACCAAATCCGCACCTTGGACAGATCCTTAATTCCCATGGCGGCTGACGTCGAGAGTCGACGAACGAGTTGGTGCAGCGAATTCGTCCTTCTATAAAAACAATAATATGTAGATCTACCGCACTTCAGGCAACTCCAAGCAAAATCCAGCGAATGTCAACAAAACATGGCCAACCAGACGCGCGCGTTCGAACACGCCCCAGTGCGGGAAATCTAGCCGGGCAAGAAAAGGCGGGTGGGGGGCCCTTCGTTATACTGGCGTGTTGCTGACATGTGTGGACCTGTGAGGGCAGCAGCAAAAATTATCTTTATTCGAACAGCAGACAATGACAACAATAACAACAACGAGACCCGTTTCCGGGGGAAAGCTGGAAGGCAAAAATAACATGGAATTTTCAAAACTTAAGCAACCAATCGAGTATCGGGGATCACACGTCGCCGTCGACGTCCAGATCGTCGTCGGAGCCGCCGCCGTAGCCCTCGCCGTTGTCGAAATAACTGAAAATGAGCAATTAAAGGGAGTAAGGTAAGAAAAACGGGCGCTAATTAGCTTGGAGGGCGGCCCGGGGTGAGAAGCGGTTAGAAGACACCCCGTTTCAGCCATTCGTTTTAGGTTTTTCGACACTCCAGACTTTTAGAGTTTAAAACACGAACGTTATGGCGAAAAACTACCATTACAGCGAGAAAAACGTACTCTTGCGCGTAGTCGTTATCCTCCTCGAGATCGTCTTCAGACACCGGCTCGTCGCCTTCTTTCTCTTGGCCCTCCTCGTCTTCCACGTCGGACGCGTCTTCCTGAAAAGGAGAAGTTTTTATCCAGATCGTCGTCCCTACCGCTTCAACCGCCTTCTCCTCGTCCTCGCCGACTTCGCGCAGGCCGGCCAGCTTCGCGTTGACGAGTTCGGAGACGGCGTCCTCCACCCAAAAATTAAAATGGTTAGCAGTGAGCGTCAAATAGCTTACCTTTCTTCGCTTTGCCGTTGACCTCTCAGCACCCTTCTTTTGCCAGCAGAGTTCCTCGGGCAGTCGGGACCAGACTGAAGTCAGAAGTTTTACAACAAAATCCGAATACCGGGCTCCAATTTCGGTCTCCCATGTTGTCGGTACGTGTCCGTGTAGCGCTTGATGTCCACATCGTCAACGGCTTCCTCGAGGTAGAAGGGGCTTTGTCGAAACCTGGAAAAAGAGATAGTTTTGGCTCCAAGGTCGTACCGGTCTATGATCACCCTCTTGGAGGCGACGATGTAGTCACGGCGATCAGATTCGGGTAGCGCCGGCACGCTGTGGGATAATGGCTAAAACGGGAACTTTCGGAACGAATAGAAAATGTACCGGGAACAGGGGTGGGGGCTCGGTTCTGGCCGGCTGGCAGTAGTTGCGCATGTCGTAGCGGGCGATGCCGAGCGCCGAGGCCACCTTGCTGACCATTGACGTCGAGCCGCCGCCTCGCCCTCGTCCGCCGCTCATTGTACCCACTGAAATCGGCGAATAATTGCACAGATCGAAAAGCGCAAAAACGTGGCAACGATTTGCTGTATTTCCTCTAATATAGGCACAACTTTCGATTTTTCGCGACCGCGGAAAGGGCCTTACAAGATTTTCAGTAGATCCCAATCTCAACTTTTCGATGGAAATCGAAGCAAAAATTATCCTATTTTGAAAACTTTGATAGGTTTTTGGAACTGAACGGCTTGAAAACACTCAGAATGCCGTGAAAACCATAAAAATTAGTCTTCGCACTTTTCAGTTCGAAATACAATTTTCGCAAACGTTTTCCCGCAGCGGCCAGATTAGAAAGGGTTTTTTCAATTACCCCGTTGCGAGGATGGCCTATACCAGAGGAATACGCTCTTTTTTGTAGGGCATCCGCTTGTCATGCTCTTTAAAGTATTGAAAGGCTCATCAACCGCTGATCGCTCGTGCTGCAGTGGCTTGAAAATATAACCTATTTATTTCAAACGATTCGTCAAAACCTCGTAACAACTGCCAAAATCGCGCGTGGCTTCGACTATACAAGAACGACACGGGCATTACAGCTAGTTCAGGGCCTACAACTAGAACAAACAAACGACAAACGAACAGAAAACAGCAAAAACGAGTGGTGGTGGGCAGAGAGACCAAGAAAAACGACACCACCAAGCTAGGGCTGGAATTGAAAGATCACGCGTAGCCGGTATAGAAAACGGGAAGGGGAAGAGAAAGACGAAAGCTATGGAAGGAACTAGAATTAACGGAATAGATCATGGGGGAAGGGCGGGCAGTGCGAGTATTGCTGAAAAGCGAAGAATGACCATTTTCAACCTTTAACGATACAGGGCACCACCTGCCGCAAACGAGAACAAGTCAAGGGGGGAGCAACAAAGAATTGAGCCAGCACAAAAATATGGAGGAGGAGATACCCGAGATGAGCGGTGTGAGAATGGGGGTTGACTTCTTTGGTGTGCGCGGGTTTTCATGATGCCGGCGCGGTCTCCTTTGGCTGCTTCTCCTCGTTCCAATTCTTCAGCCCCTTCGGTAGTTGCGTGTCCTCGTCCATGCCGCCAGTGCCTAGAAGAAGACGAACATTAACGGCTTCCTTCGTATTATCGGGGGCTTTTCCGATGCTCCAATTTTTCTAATATAATAGCGCGATAGCGTGCGATAATCCCCCCCTGTTAATGCGAAAGAACCCATCAACGGGAACGATTTGCGAGGGATTTCTTGCCAAAACGAACCTTCCACCATCTCCTCGTAGGTGTGCTTCTCGCCGAACGGCCGTTTGCCGACCATCTCGACCATGTCGTCGCGCGAGAGCACCTCCTTCTCCAGCAAACGCAGCGCCACCTGTGAAAATAACGTAAACTTGAAAACGACAGGTATCCGCGGGAATCCGAATAAAATGCATACCTTCTCGACGTCGTCCCGTTTGCTGACGAGCAGCTCACGCGTCCTGGTCAGGGCGCCCATCACCAGGTCCCGGACCTGAAATCAAAATTTTATAACGCCGCAATTTCAATCCGGTGATCTTTACCAGGAACAAATCTCCACGGAAATGCTTGAAAAAGCCCAAAATTTTGACAAATAGGAATTTGGACATCATGAATTTTCACATTTTGAAAATAAGGCGAACCACCACAAATTTCCGGCTACTAAAAAAACGCTCAAATCTCACCTCTTGATCGATCAATTGAGCGGTCGCCTCGGAATACGGCTTGTCGAAGGCCATCTCGCCGGGCTGCGGCGTGTCGAAGGAGAGCGGGCCCACCTTTGCCGACATGCCATACTTGACAACCTGAAAAAGAGACAGTAGACTCGGAAAAATTTCGTTTTTGGTATTTTCGCAAACGGGTACATGTTTCCCATTGCCCGAATCCCGTCTAGGAGTCTAAACCGAAAAAGCTTGCGCTGAATCAGCAACGTGGCGACTTTTGCCATTGTCTAGTGCGCCGGGTTTCGGCGGCTTTTTGTCCGCCTGTCACCATTTCCGAGCCCCCGGACACTGTACGACAGAGTTCCGGAATCCCCGGATCGACTATAAATGCACCGCGTCGAAGGTGGTGGCACACGATCGCCCAATCATGTTCAAGCAGCTCGGATACGCCGCGGTGCTTCTGGTGCTTGGTAAGTGGTTTATTGCAAAGTATAAACAGTAGTCTAAACTTATTTTAATAGCATTTTACGAGTTCCTTAGATATCAACATTGTTCAAAAATCCTAGTAGTTTCGAAAATCTGAATTTTTTAAATAGTATTTAGCGAGCTCTTTACAAGAAAAAAAACATAAAAATCCTATAATTACGAAAACCTAGCCTTTATTGTTAAAATGTAAGAAAAATTATAAAATTCCAAATTTTGAAACAAGTTTTTAATTTTTAAATAAAAAATCCTAAAATAAAATTAATAGGGGAATATAAAGGAAGTTAGGTAACTCACCAGCACCGATCTCAGGCTCAGCTCGCCCCCACTACGCCAGCACGGCTGACAGCTACGCGCAAAGTCAGAGCTACTACCCGGTGCAAGGGGCCGAGAATTGCCGGAAAACGACCGACTCTTCCGGTATCGTCACCCTGAACTGTCGGGTGAACGTCGAGCAGCCGCAACGTCAGCAGGAAGCTTGCAGCTGCCAGCCTCAGGTAGAAGCATACATGCCTTAAAACCCGAAAATTCAGCAGCAAGCCCCCTGCGCTTGTCAACAACAAGCCCCGGCCCCTCAGCAATGCGCAGCCCCGCCCTGCATCCCCACCGTCTCCGTCGACCACGTGACAACGACCCGAAACTTTGGCTTTGTGATCGGTGCGTCGCAACCGACGTACTACGCCTACCCGATCCCGGGCAGCGACAGTGGACATCAAAGCCAGCCCCAGGGATACGCGACAGCGCCCAGCCTGGGTAACCTATTTGGTGGGTGCTTGCAGAGAGCCTTGGGAAGTACTCTGAGCCTGTTTTAAAAATGTCGTAATCGGTTCTGGGCTGTTAATAGGCCAGAAAACCAATTTTATTAATTTGGGCACTATCAAACTTTTCCAGGCTTCAACTCCGGCTACGGCCAGCAGAGCGCCTCAAACGAATACGCGCAGCCAGCTGCCGCCGGAAACGTCTACGCGGCGGCGCCCCAGATCTCGGCGGGAGGCAGCTACGCTACGGCTCTACCGCAAATTTCTGGAGGGAGCTACGCCACTGTTCCTCAAGGCCCCTCGGCCGGCGGCAGCTATCAAGCGGCGAGCTACCAGGTCGCACCGGTGCAGCCGGCTTCATACGCCCAAGCGCAGCCGGTCATCTACACCCAGGAGCATCCAACGTACGCCCAGGCGCAGCCGGCCATCGACGCGCATGAGCAACCATCCTACACCCAGCCTTCGTACGTCGCGGAGCGACGCACGTACGCCCAGCCGCAAGCCTCCTATGTACGCGAGGAACCAAACTACGCCCACGAGACCGCATCGTATGCCCACGAGCAGCCCGAGCAGTACAGCCACTCATCCCAGACGTACACCGGCGTGGACGCGCCCGCGTCGAGCTACCCGCCAAGCCACGAGACCTACTCGAGCCCCAAGCAGACCCCGGTTAACAACTACGCAAAATCGAACCGGAAGTATTGATTTGGGGACCCTGTTTGGGTAATCTATATGCGCCGAATAAATTATGCTTAGACTGCCGCTAGAACTAGACAACAAAAACCGTGCAAAACCACACCTGTGAGTAGGCCATTTGCGTAACCTTCTGTAGATCATCCTGGGCGCCCGTCGTGATTCGGCCAAAGAAGATCTCTTCAGCCACCCGTCCGCCAAGCGTCATGCACATCCTAAAAAATTTTGCGTCAAAGCAACTCGAATAAAGGTACCTGTCAAGCAGCTGCTGCGTCGAGTAGAGGTACTGCTCCTTGGGCAGGTATTGCGCGTAGCCGAGCCCTTTTCCGCGGGGGATAATGGATACCTAAAGAACGTCAATTTTGGCAACGAAAATGGGCCTCACCTTCAACAACGGATCGGCGTACTGCAGAAACCAGCCGGCAATTGCGTGCCCGGCCTCGTGGTAGGCGACCGTCTTCTTTTCTTCAGGCTGAAGAACCTGGCTCTTCTTTTCCATGCCGGCAACGACACGTTCGATCGCCATCTCAAAGTTCTTCATCGTGATCTCGTCGTTGGCGTCACGGGCAGCAATTAGGGCGGCCTCGTTGCACACGTTGGAGATGTCGGCGCCTAAAAATGAATGGTGTTTGGATGATATTGCAGTTTCTCGGAGTGGCAGACACTGCTCATTCGACCGAGCTTTAAATTCTATGCAAGTCATGTCGCTCAAAAGGATTACAGGGCCAAGACGCCAGAGTTCAAGGGCAAAACCAACCAGAAAAGCCGGGGGTGTGCGCAGCAAGCTTCCTGCTCAAGGCCATCTTGTCCAGCGAGGTCTTCAGCGGTGTCAAATGGACGCGGAAGATTGAAGCACGACCCTGCAAAAAGATAACGTCATCCAAGACCCGCCAAAACTCGAACCTTGATGTCCGGCACGGGCACGTAGATTTGCCGATCGAAACGCCCAGGGCGCAGCAGCGCCGAATCCAAGATGTCAACGCGATTCGTTGCCGCCATGACGATAACGTTGCTCTCGTCAGTCGAGAATCCTGCAAAAAAGTTGCAATCGTGAGGCGTACGCCTACCGTCCATCTCAACGAGGAGTTGATTCAACGTGTTCTCCTGCTCACTGTGGCCGCCCATTCCACCCTTACCGCCACTAAATCGAGCATGAGCTGGAAATTCCGACAAAAATTACCGTTTTCTTCCGACGGCGTCAATCTCGTCGATGAAAAGGATGCAGGGGGCGTTCTTACGCGCCATCGCAAACATATCGCGCACACGGGCAGGACCCACCTGAAATGAAAAGGAAATGATGAAAAGAAAGCGGGACGAAAAAAAACAAGAAATTTTCGAATTTTGCAAAAATTACAAAAAATTTTTTTTTATTACATAATTTTTAATATGGCGAGATAATCCCGGAAATACTCACTCCGACAAACATTTCCAAGAATTCCGAGCCAGAGACTGTGATGAAGGGTACGTTGGCCTCGCCAGCGGTCGCCTTGGCGAGCAGCGTTTTTCCAGTGCCGGGCGGGCCGGTAAGAATGGCTCCCTAGATTTTGATCCACTAAACGCAACGGCATACTCGAAATACCTTTGGTATCTTGGCGCCCAGGTTCTTGTACTGTTGGGGGTTCTTCAGGAAGTTGACAAACTCCATGATCTCGATCTTGGCCTCCTCGCACCCGGCGACGTCTTTGAAGGCAACCTGAAAAAAAAGATAGGATTCCACGGCACCTTTCTCACCTTAATATCCTCCTTGTTGATGACACGGGCGGTGCTGGAGCCGAAATTGCCGAAGAGACCGCCAAAGCCGCCGCCTCCGCCCTTGGCTCCACCTAGATTCCGGATTACGAATTAAGCAAAGGCAAAAAGCACCTGCTCCGCCTGACATTCGCTTGGCCGAGCGGTAGAAGTAGTACAGGATGAAGAGAGGGAGCAGCGTGCTCAGGATTTGGGGCAAGTTGTGCTTGCTGAAAAGCATGAGGTCATAGGGAAGACGGCATTTTCTTACTAATCAAATTCCTCCTTGTAGAGCACTGGAATTTGTCTATCTGCTTCGTAGCCAAGATACGCTTGAGCGCCGGCTAAACTCCGCTCGAACGACTCGACACTGCCAATGTTGAAGTAGGGGCGCGCCTAAAAACTCGGGTCTAATCTCGGAATCTCAATCCTCACCGTTCCGTATTTTCCACTTGACGTAATCACGCGAACCCATTTCTTGTTGACAACTTCCAGGCGATCAACCTAAAGAGATCGTCATCCTTCTTGCAAAATAGCGCATACGGCGTTGGCCTCGAGGAATTCCTTGTAGAATTGATTCCAGGACAACTCCTTGTAAGACTGGGAGTCGTTGAACAGGTAGAGCGCGAGAATGACGACCGCCGAGACGGCGATTCCTTGCCATCCTCCTGGTGGAGTCTCTGGATTTTTGTCGCCTAAAACCTTCAATTATCAAAGCTCCGAACCCGGACATAATTTGGTCGTGAAATTCCTAACAAAATTGACACTCACCGTCCGCCTGCTTCCCATCTGGGCCCTTCTTCTCTTTTGCGTCCCCTTCGTACTTTTTCCGGAACTCCTTGATCGCTTCTTGAAAGCGCTCCATGTCATTCTTGGGTGGCTTTTTGCCCGTTGCCCACTAAAGAATGGCAATTAGTCGCGGCAAGGCAACCCACCACTATAAATCGCTCGATCGCATTATCACTGGAGAGCAGATGTCGAACCTCGCGATCGGTGAGGATGGCTACCTGAAAACAGACAAATAAATCATTTCATATCTCAAAGTCCTAAACAGACAGAATAGCTTGTTTTTCGGGCCGAGGGTTTGCTTCATATTTTAAAGAAACGCACCTGTGCTTGATTTTGTGTTGAACTGTACCGGGCGAGAATCCGGGCCGCACTCCTTGTCCGAGCCGCGTTCAAGCAGCGAAGCATTACTGCTTCTGTGTAATGCTGAAAAAAAATTATTAATTTGTTAGCTGGAGGACAAAAGTTCGAAATTCGGAAGAAAACCCTGACAAACACAAATCATAAGAGGGTCTCCCCTTAGAAAATTTCGTCAGGGCGCGGCGGTGAGAGCGTGGAGGGCATGTGGGATGGGGAGTGGGTCGGAGCACTTTAGCGCGAGCGTATAACCAACCTCTTTCAAATACTAGGTTGTTAACTCTTAAATTTCATTATATTAAAGAATATTTCCTTCCCCCCTACTCATATCAAAATCTTCGCCATCGCTCAAACTATCGATAGCGCCAGTTTAGGAACGATGGCCGGCCGCAAACGTAACACTGAGGAGAAGGACGAGGAGTACCGCATGAAACGCCAGAAAAACAATGAAGCCGTGAATAGGTAGGCGAAAACTAGTCAAAACACGAAAGTGTGCGCTGGAAACGAATTTTTGACACCGAATTCAGGACGCGCCAGAAAAAACGCGAGGAGGAAACGAACACGACAAAGCGCGTCGATGAGCTGCGCAAAGAAAATGCTGAGTTGGAGCGAAAAGTAAGTGAAATCTGGTTAGAAATCACCAATTCGGCCCCTTTTACGCATTCAAAACCGTTTCGGCCTTGTTCAACGCAGCTAAACGTGCTAAAGTTCGCCAAATATCGATAAAAAGTAAAGTGATGCTCGTTAGAGAAAGTTTTAGCGCCAAAAATTGGCACAGACAAAACGGCCGAATCGGAAAATTGCATTTAAGCCGGTTCTCCGTACAAAAAACCTATTCTCGGGGTAAAAGAATGAGGGAGAAGCACGCCGACCGTGCTGAAAAGCCGCCCCAACCCAGAAAGGCCAACCAGGACCCTCAAAAATTTAGGTGGAAAGCCTGCAGAATGAGCTCAAGTTCCTGAAAGAGATGTTTGTCGCCTACGCCGCCGGGAATAAGCGCAAGAACAGTGAGGTGGAGGCCACGAATCTCCCGGGCCCAAGCGGAAGTCGCCGTTGAAGCAAATGAAAGGCGATAAAATTTCGGCGCCCGAAAAACTGTATTTGATGCTTTGTGATGTATGGACTTGAACTGTGATACGGGTTTTACAAGATGTTAATAAAAATTGGCTAGTGGAAGCACTTTTAGCGGATTTTCCCAATCGTTGCTTGACGATGGCGGAATTGCCTTTTCTAAATGATTTATGGAATTTTTGTGTGAAATTGTAATCTTTTGCGAAAAAGAAACTAATATTTTTTGCCGATTGCCTTGTTTCCGTTTGCACCTCCGTACAGTTTCCGTTCTAAGGAGCAACGGATGCTCGCGTAATCACAAATTTTTCTAAAAACTAAATTCTTTACAAACGTTCGTTTCTTTTGCAAAAAAAACCCGTTTTCCTCGACTAGATCCTTGCTTTCAATCGTAATCAACTTTTTCCAGGGGATGACGGCCACCACGAAGACGTACCGGACTAAAAATCCGGATCAGAACAAGACAATGCAGATCTTGTACGCGAGCGAGCTGTCCGACCTGTCAGAAGCCCGAAGTATAATGCGGACAATGACAATGATGCCCACCGGAATGGAGCGGGAAGAGGAGATGGAGACACATTTGCAAGAAGCCATCAACTCGCAGCAGGCCACCACTTCCGGGATGGGCGAGGCGACGTCGGTCATTCCCACTCCCAAGGTCTACCCGATAGAGACGGAGAGATACGAGCGGATATACCAGACGCTCGGCCCGACGTCTTCACATCTGATGCGGGTGCAAGCCTGGGAAGCCCTTGAGCACGAAAAGCCGGTCTACGACTGTGACAGTGACGACGAAAAATGGTTAAAACGGAAAAAGGGCCAAGTCACCGCTCGAGAACTAGAACGAGTTTTCACGGAACTCGAAGCAAAATCGTCGGATACGCAAATCATCCTGCCGGACAATGCCAGACGATGTGTGCAGTCGATCAGTGTCCACATTATCGATATGGTCTACGACTATTGGTTGACAAAACGGAAAACGAAGCTTCAAAGCGGGCAACCCGGCGGCTTGATCCCGAAAATCAGGACGGAAGCGAAGAAAGAGGGACAGATCAATCCTTATATTGCGTTCCGGAGACGGATTGAAAAGATGCAGACACGAAGGAATCGGAAGAATGATGAGGACGCGTATGAGAACGGGCTGCGGTTATCCCGAGATCTGCGACGGGCTGTGCAATTGGCGGATATGGTCAAGAGACGAGAGAAGACCAAGCTGGCGCTGATTGAGAGCGACATAGAAATTCTTCAAACGCACTTTGAGCTGGACGACTACGATCCACAGTTGTACATGCAGCTCGTGAACTCGCTGAGGGATAAGGTAAAAGAGCCGATCGCCGACGAGCCCAGCGTGCCCAGGAAGAAGGCGAGGAGGCGGAGGGTGATGCCCGACATTGACCGCGAAGTCCCCAATCGAGCATGGTTGGAGAAAAATGAGGAGTTGTGGAATGTGCCGATCGAAGGCAATTTGTCAACGGTTCTCAACTCAAACATGACGGTCGAGGTGCCAGAAAGTGACGATTCCGACCCGTACGAATTCCAGCCGTATCGTTGGTGCGCTTATGCGGAGGCGGATCCGATCGCCGTCAACCCACTTTGCCAGGATTCGGACGTGGAATCGTCAGAGTCGGAGTTGATGTCGGCGAACGAGGCAGAAGACGAAGAGGAGGACGAGGAAGAGGAATTGGAGGACGAAGAAGAAGAAGCCGTTGAGAACGAGGTGGGCGAATACGAGGAGGGACAGGAGGATGAGGAGCAGCAGTGTGAAGTGGTCGAAGAAAACGGAGAATCCGAGGAGGAGGAGCCGTTTACCGAATACTATCCAACTCGAGTCCGAATCGGCAGGGGCGGGCGGCGAATCGTGGAGCGGAAGGTGATCTACTACCCGCCCGAAGTCTACAGCGAGGAGAATGACGAGCCCAGCTGCTCCCACCAGGATGATGTTGAGGAGAAAGAGGAGCCGGCAAGTCAGGAGGACGAGGTTCGATTGGAAGACCGACCGCTGTTGATACCAAAGGCGGCTCTGGCTGCCCAGGAAAACGACAAAGTTTCTCTCAAGAAGCCTCCTATCGGTCTGGGATCCGTTTTTGAGAATTCACCAAGCGAAGAGTCACGATCCTGCTCTCCTGTATTCCCCGGCTTACCTTGGCACTCGACAGCACAAACGAATGGAACGGCAAATTCAACTCAACTTCCAGCATAAGCAAAATCATTGCAGTCACCCGCAATCAACTTTAATTAATTGAACTTTATAGACTTTTCCTAAATTTCCAGCATTCCCCCCATCTTTACTACTCGGTTTTGCGCTTCCCCCCTGGCAGTATCCTCACCTTTGTATTTCCTCATAACATTGTGTATTTTGTTATACTCTGGCTAACGTTGTTGTTCCCCACCGATGCCCGGCTACTTTCTCTGTATTTATCGTGTCGTTTTGAAAATGAAAAATAAAAAAAATTCAGATGTCCACCGACGGGGAGCGGTTCGCGACGGCGACCGCGGAATGTGTGCGGACTGCGCGCGAGGCGATGGCCGGCGCGCACAAAATGATCGAAAGTTTGAAGGCGGACAAGGATAGAGATGTGAGCTGCCAACTTTTATAGAAACGCTAATTTTTTTAGGGCATTTCCCTGCTCGAGGTGAAGAATCACGATCTGCTGGCGTACATGCGCGAGATGGCGCTGATCATGGAGCGGATGAGTGCCGGCGAATCGATTCAGGAATGCGGGGCCGTTGAGCGATCGATCAGATACAGGACGGTATCGGTGATTTTGGCTTCTGCAACGGTTTCCTAGATTCTGGAACGAATAAAGCCCCTCGAAAAGAAGCTCGGCCCGCAGATTGACAAGATTTTGCAGGTGAGGCATTTTTGGAAGAAAATTGGGCGCTTTCGCATTATCGCAGCTAAAAATAAATTTTTTGCTATAGAGAAAGTGTTTCTAAACGCTTTTTTGGTTATGCCGAAGCGTAGCTTTGAGTTTTTAGTTTCAAAGATGCAAAAGATAGTTAGTTAGTTAGTAAAAGATAGCTAGTTGGTTTAAATATCGTTCTCTCTCTACTAAAACACTAAAAAAATACTTCCTAGAAGAGAAGTTACTAGGCATTTCTAGATCTATACAAAAAACCCCCGCCCCCCGATAATGCGAAAGCACCGATCACAGGATGTTTTTGTAGGGCCCTGTCACCGGAGTGAAGCCAAAGAAGGCGGAAGCATCCGATGAAGACGACGAATTTGACGAGGAAGGCGGAGAGGGTTCGGCAGCTGAAGAGGACGAGATTGAGGGCAGTGAAGACGACGAGGACGAGGCCCCGGAGAGACGGCAGAGATTCAACGCCTCAAAGATCTTCGGCATCAATTATGAGAGTACGTTTAGATTCCTTTCCGAATAGCCCTTTTTATAGCGGATCGCGATCAGGAGCGCAAATTGCGGAAGGCCGAACGGAACAAGAAGCGTGCGCTCGGCTCCACGCTCGTGCAAGAGCTCCGGCAGCAGTACAGCGATGCGCCCGTCGAAGAATATATCGACAATACGGTGTCGACGCGTGTTCGACAACAGGATCGCGAGCGTTTAGAGTAAGGGAATTTTTGAGCTAGCACGTTTCCTCGAATGTATGTCGGATAATGTCGGGAATCATAATGTCACGGTCGAAATTCAGAATGCCGAATTTTTTTGCGTAGTTGGGAAATTCGCTTATGTAAATTTCGGCTTAATCAAATTTCGACATTTTTAACGTAACCCCCTTTTTCCAGACACGAAGAATCGTTCCTGATGCGCACCCGGATGGACAAGGGCGAGATAAAGCGAAGAAGGCGCGAGGCCAACGTGTCGATGGTCGATCAGCTGCTGAAATTCGGCGACTATATGGCCGGTATGTACTTGCTCGGAAATTTGACATTTTGCTTTTTTTCAGCTGATGACGAGCTTCGCGGGAAGGTGCTCTCGCACAAGAAGCCGCGACGGGGCGGCCCGCAAAAGCGGAAAATTGGCGGCGCCAAAGGACCGAGCAAAAAGAAGGTAGCTTGCTTTTGGACTGTTTTAAAATCTAGAAATGGTTCTTTTGCATTATCGGGGGATCTAATTTTTTCTAGATCCAGAAATGCCCTCTAACCTAATAGGAATTATTTTGTTAGTGTTTTAGTAGCTATAGAACTATTTTGGAACTAGAAAACCCTTCGAAAAACTTTCGAAAAGTCGAAACTTTTGGTCGAAAATCAGCCATTTCGGATCGAACAATAATTTTCTGATTGGTATTTTGCTACGAAAATTTGTAACGTTTTTATTTTGGGGAAAGTTTAGAAACACTCACGCTATTTATATTTGAGAAATTGGATCCTTGGTAAAAGACCCCCGATAATGCCAAAGAACCTTTCGGACTTTCGACATTCTGAAACTTATAGGATAGAATTTTGTGATTATGAACTTTTGTCCTTCTGAATCTTTGCATTTTGATAGGATAGAGTTTCGACATTGGAAAATTTTGGATAGAACATACTGGCATTTTAATTATTCAACGAATTCCACAATTCCAGAAATCCGGCGGGCCGAGCAAGGGGCGAAAGAAGTAGGACTATCGATTGGACAATGTTTTTGTTTTTCGTTTTTGTTATGACTTTTGTTGCACATCGTTGTTGTCTGTTTCAGAATAAACATTTCTACATCCTTCTACGTACGTCGAATTCGAGCAACGGAAGCTTTATTACGTCAGACACAAAAGAGCTTGAGAATAGTAGTAGATTCGAAGGTTCACTGTACATTTGCACGGAATATTTGTGGTTTTTTTTAGGAAATTTTTGTCTAGAGGGCGTTCGACTCGCGCCAGGGCTTCTCGCGCTTCACCGCGTGCTGCCGTGCGTGGGCTTCGAATCTGAAAAATTCCTTTACTTGCCAGCGGCGCTTATTTTTGTTGATGGCATTCCTTCAAGAATCTCTGCAAGCTTTCCCTGACAAGAATAGGGATCAGCTCTGGGCTTACTTTGCAATCCCAGCAGCTACGGAAAGGCGACGCCCATTCGTCGGCGACGTATCGGGGGTCGCTTGCGAGCATTGGCTGCAAAGTTTTGTAACTTTGTAAAACTCTCTAGTTTTTGGTCAATTTTATGGTGCTTTCGCGTTAACGGGGGGGGGGGATAAAATTTTTTAGATTATTTCTAATGCAAAGAGAAAAAAGTTTTGAAACGGTCTTTTACTATTTTCATGAGAAATTGCAAAAATATCGATTTTTCGACAAAAAATGGCCGTTTTTGGCCAAAATTTCGGCTTTTTGGAACCTTTTCAAAGTTTCTAGAGGATTTAGGGAAGTGTTTCTAAACGGCCTTTTACTTTTCCTATACGTCATAACTTTACAAATTTTAATTAAAAAAATACGACACAATACGAATTTTTGGGAAAATTTACTTTTATGGTCCCCGTCCGAAAAGTGGTTTTTCGTGTCGGAATCGATTCAGAATTGTTCGAAATGTGGTTTACAGTTGAAAAAAAGGGTCGGAAAGATGTTTTTGCTAGGAAATATGCACTTTTTTATGAAAATTTGAGGACCATAAAATGGGGTACGGGGGACTGAAGTTTATGGTCCTCGGCTGAAAAGCTATTTTTCTTGTCGGAAAATATCCAGAAATGTTCAAACTATCGTTTGCAGTTCAAAAAAATCGTCGGAAAGAAATTTTTTTCGGAGAAAATAATTTTTTTCACGAAAATTTGAGGACCATAAAAGGGGGTACGGGGGACTGAAGTTTATGGTCCTCGGCTGAAAAGTGTTTTTTTCTTTCACCAATTCAATAGATTAATGTTGGAAATGCATAGTACATCGAAAAAAGTGCCGGAAAGATGTTCTTGGTCTCCTAAGACTTATGAACAGGGTGCGGTATGTAGCATTGTCAGGCAAGGCGGGCCGTCGCTTCGGATGGGCTGCCGCTCCACTCTTTCGAAATCAGGGCGCCTGGGCGCTGCGCGCTGCTCGGGCGCCCCGATTTCGAAACACTGTACGAGCTCGCACCCATCCGAAGCGACTAGGCCCCCGGTGGCACGAAGCCTTATTTTTAGGCTAAAAATGGGTTGAATGAATTTTTGTAACAAAACATTTGTTGAAGCTAATAAGGGTCTTTCCGACGATTTTTTTGAACTGCAAACGATAGTTTGAACATTTCTGGATATTTTCCGACAAGAAAAATTGCTTTTCAGCCGAGGACCATAAACTTCAGTCCCCCGTACCCCATTTTATGGTCCTCAAATTTTCATAAAAAAGTGCATATTTCCTAGCAAAAACATCTTTCCGACCCTTTTTTTCAACTGTAAACCACATTTCGAACAATTCTGAATCGATTCCGACACGAAAAACCACTTTTCGGACGGGGACCATAAAAGTAAATCAAGCCGAATTTTTCTACCAATAATGCTAAAATTTCGATTTTTTGACAAACTTTTCGAAGTTTTTAGATGGTTTTTCTAGTTAAAATACAGTTTTAATTTATATAAAACAGGATGAAAATACTCTCTAATAAGTTTCTAGGCCTTATAGAAGAAAAAATTTAATTAGAATAAAATAAACATAAACGATTAGTTAATATTTTGCGAAAAATAATTACCGGCTGAGGATGGCGGCCGGCTGGGCGGAGAAGAGGTGGGCAATCTCCTCGTCGGCGTCGAGCGTCGTGTTGCCCTCGAACATGCTTTGCGGCCGGGGTCGGGGACCGTCCTGAAATTTTGTAATTAGTTAGTATTTGTAAATTTAACCTATTTTGGTACACTTATTAATTTTTATTGTTTTTTTTTTGTATCATATTAAACTTTCATAATTTCTCCGCCAAACACCTACCCTCGGCCGCCCTTGTCGCTGCTGGGCCGGCGTCTTCTCCAGGAAGATCTTGGCGGCGTGGAAGAGCGAGTCCTAGACGGATGTCGGGATTTTCGTTTAAGCTTAGTCTTATGCTTAAGCCAAAGCCTAAGCTTTAGTCTAAGCAAAAGCCTAGGCTAAGCTGAAGTCAAGCCTAAACCTAAACGTAAGCCCAAGCCCAAGCCTAAGCCAAGCCTAAGCCTAAGTCAAGCTCTAACTACCTTCAGTGACTGCTCGGGGCGGACGGCGTGGCGGCGGACGGGCGGCGTGCGCGCTCCGGTCGGGTCGGCCGATGAGGTAGTGAACGTTAAAGTCGGTTGTTGAGCAGACGGGGCGTCATCAGGTTGCGTAAGTGATTTTCTGGGGGCTGGGCGGGGTGGGGACTAAAAAGGTTTATATTGCGGCGGTAGCTTAAGCCTAAGCCCAAGCCTAAGCGAAGCCTAATAAGCTTATCCCTAAGCCTAAGCGAAGCCTAAGCCAAAACCCAAGCCAAGCCTTACTTCTATCGGCGCGACGTGCTGAATAGCCTGGGCGACCCCAAATTTCCGTTGGACGGGCGGCGGGGTGAGGGCGGAGAAGGAGCGCGAGTCCAAGTGGGTCGGCGAGCGCGTTTGGGCCCTGAAATGGCGGCGGTGTACCGCTTGAAATTGATGGGTAGGAATCTCACCTGACAAAGTGCTCATCGCGCTGCCGCTCCGTGGTGGCGTACATACTTTGCGGACGGACGGGCACCTGCTTCTTGGCGCGTCGCAGGGAGGTGGTGGATTGGATGGTGGTGCTCAAGAGGTGGATGTCGTCCGGGTCAGCATCGCGCTGCTGCTGCTGCTCGGCTCGGCGCTCTGGGGATGATTTGTTTTTATCCGTTCCTTTGGATTATCGGGGGAGCTTTTTTTCTAGAGATCTAACGTTTCAATCGAATTCTTGAAATATAAATCGAGGAAGCTTTTTTAAACTGTTGATTAGCATCCTAAATGGCAAAAGGGACAACTTTTGGTGAATAAAAAATACAAAAAAAGATTTTTCGGCTGAAAATGTCGTTTTTTGAAGGAAATGGAACTAAAAGTCTTTCGTAGTTTTGTTGCCGGTTTCCCACTTAAAATTTGCAAAAAATACTTTTAAAATTTTTACTATTACGTTACTGGACACTTCTGGGCTTATAGGAAAAAAGTCTCGTGTCATCTTCTCTCTCTCTCTCTCTCTCTCTCTCTCTCTCTCTCTCTCTATCTCTCTCTCTCGCTCTCTCCCTCTCCTTCTAAAACTCGCTTAAACCGTCTTACCCATATTCCCCGACTTCAACGATCTCGGCGTGACCCTCGGCATTGGAGAAACCGAGCGCTGGGCAGCTGCCCGCGCTCCGAAATTCACCTCCTCAAGCGACTGCTTCCGGAACGCCGTGTAGGAGAGACAGGGCGGCTGCAGAGTGCTGGAACTCAAAAATTCCAAATTTTGATCGGTCCCTACGCGACGTTCCCATCGCCGGAATGGCCGGAACAGCCGGAGTCGACGCTTAGTGAGGAGCGATGGGAGGGGCAGTCGATGAGGGGGAGACTCGGAGCGCGAGGCGAGGAGCTGAAAAAGATGCATGAGGAAAGGGAAAGCTAGCAGAGATTCTTTAGGAAATGGCAAACTAGCAGAGATTCTTTAGGAAGGGGCCAGCTAGCAGGGATTTTTAGGAAAGGGCAGGTTAGCAGAGATTCTTCAGGAATCGCGGGCTAGCAGCAATTTTTTCCTGATCTCCCATTTTCCCCAAAAATCTCTGCAAGTTGCCCCTTTAAAACCAGTGATCCCCTCGGTATTTCAACGCATAAACTATCCCCCACGCAATCACCCCCCAAAAATCCAGCTGCGCTGACGCGCGAGCACAATTTGGGGGCCGCGCGCGGCTGATAAGGACAGGATTTGCATCCTGCCCTCTTCTAATTAGACATCAAGCCCTAGGTGGGAAGTCGGCTTTTCGTGATATCGAGGCTACGGTAGCTGCGGGACCCGCGCGGGCTGAAAAACCGGGACATTCTGGTACTGGGTTGTTATCGGGGGTATTTAAGTTTCCTATCCTACTAAAAATGGTGAAAAATATGTTAGACATCGGAAGGAAAAAATAGTTTCCCCTGCTAAAAACCCCTACCCCCGCTAACAGTCGAGTACCAAGACTTAAGGAATTGGCAGGCTAGCAGAGATTCTTTAGGAAAGGGCAGACTAGCAGAGATTCTTTAGGAAAGAGAGGAAAGAGCAGGTCTGTAGAGATTCTTTAGGAGAGGGCAAGCGAGCAGAGATTCTTTAGGACTTACCGATGCTCTTCCACTATCGACACTTCTCAAAGAGTCCCTTTGCTGCACGTCCGCCTCCATCAGTTTCTTCTCACGGCTGATGACGTCGCCGCACTTTGGGATCGAGGGCAGTCGGCCTCGCATATCCTGAAGGGCGAGCTAGCAGAGATTCTTTAGGAAGGGCAGGCTAGCAGAGAGCGTTTAAGAAAAGACAGGCTAGCAGCGATTCTTCAGTACCTCCATCATCCTCAGATGCTTGACCCTCAGCACGTCGAGCTGCACCATGCCCTGTCGGCAGGCTTCTAGCCGATCCCGGATCCCAGACTCATCCTGGCTGGCCGCCACCGTCGAATACGTGTCTGAAGGTGCATTAATGTAAGCGTATTAAAGGGCCATTGAAGGCAAAATCCTGCTCGTCCCCCCGTTTCTTGGGACCACTTCAAAAAGCTACAGTACCCGCTACTTG